CAATTTTGCAAAAGCTCCGAATACGCACTTTTCGCAAACTACCAATTTCGATTGCAACTTGCAGGACCCGTGGCAGACTTACATGCGCTGATCGGCGCAGAAAGTTTGTCACAGAGGTATCGCTTCGCAACGATTTTGGTCCACAGGCTCCCTGACCTCCAGACTCTGGTCCACGATGATGCTTGCCACCTCCATTTCATGTGCAAGGAGCACCAACAAGCATCAGCCATAGCACAGTGGTTGGGCAATTTCAACTTTATCATTGACAAGTTCCACGCACCTGGGCATGTTGGAGACCTCTGTCGTCAGCATTGTCTTCCCGACCTGGCTGGGAACAAGTCCATTCCATCCAAGTTTCCGACCGACATTGCCGAGACTGTGAACAGCCAGCTCTGTCCTCTTGGGCATGTGGTACACCATATGAACAAATGGTTCTGCCAGCTCTTCCTTCAGGACGCCCAGCGCGCCTTGTAATGCAGGGTCGGATGCGAACAAGATTGGCTCTAGCTGGCTAGAAAAGAATAACTCCACAAATACGGCCTGGAATATAATAGGCTGTTCTCCAACCGCTGATATCAGGAGATGCGTGATGTGCACAACCTGGCGCGCCCGCAGGCTATCAATGACCGTGTCCGAGCGAAGCGCAAACGAGGACAGGTCTCACCAAACCTGCGTTTATGATGCGCAAGATCATATTCGTTGAAGAAGCGTGCGAGATTCAATTTCTGTTGATCGGAATCTCTTACAGGAGGCCATTCGATTTCCCATTGTCCAAAATTTTGCTAGCAGGACAAGAAATTTCTTGAACCTGGACAAACATCTTCTTTTGGCCATCCTTCAGCCTCTTGAGCGGCGTCCCCCGAAGGATGCCGTTGACGCTAGACCGCGTGGAGGAAAGGATGCGCTAATGTACGCGTTGCCGTGTGATTCTGTGATTTTGCTTCGTATATGGAACACATGACGGCATCGTGCGCAAACGTGTTGCAGGCATGAATTTCATGGATTTCTGATTTCCAGGCACTTCTTCCCAGCATTTCACTTCCTGTTCTTTTCATTCGGTGCGTGTGCCAGTCCGTTCAAAGCCGCTTCAGACCCAGCAAAGTCAGCACCTCAGACATAGAAAAGCCAACAAACATTTTCTTGCAAAAGGTTTGGAGGTGTTGGTGTAAGAGCAACTCCAGCGCAATGGCGTTAATTGAACGTTTGTCCAGTTGCTTCGATCAATTTCCCCCTGCCCTATCTAGCTGATGGGATTTCTATACGTGATGGGGCTGGATACAACTTTAGAAGACGAACGACCACGGCCCGACAATAGCTCCCAAGTTGCCAGCCACCACGGCCACCGGCCACCGCCGGCCATTGCCGGTCACCGGCCCATCGCCGGCCACCGGGGATCAGCGCTGGGGCTGCAGCCAACGAGCACCGGCCACCACACCACCCAGCCCCACCACCGGCCACCGGTCCCACCCAGTGGCCACCGGGCACCGGCCAGCGGCCACCGGACACCACATTGCCCAGCCACCGGCCAACGGGCAGCGGCCACCTGCCAGCGGACCCACCAGCGGCCACGACAAAATTAGTCAATCCCGCGCTGGGCTCTGTCGTTGCTTGAATCGGGGATAGCTGTTCCGGCTAGGCCGCCACGCCCGGGAAACACCAAAAAAAACGTAGATGAGCGAACTACGCGCGATTTCGATTTTTGACCCCGGCGCACGGGCGAAATGGGAAAAAATCTCGCAGAGCACCTGCGTGTCCGGGAGGGCCATGCTTCATGCACTGTTGGAGAGAAAGAGCAAGAGAAAGAGAGAGAGAGAGAGTAAGAGACAGAAAGAGAGAGAGAGAGAGAAAGAGAAACAGAAAGCAGCCCCGCATAAAGCAACCAAGACCGGAAACCAACGTAGCCGGAACAGCTATCCCCGATTCCGGCAATGGCAAGCGCAAAATCGCGCGTAGATCGCTCATCCACGCGTTTTCGCGTTTTGGAGGTGCAGCAGCGCCGCAGCAAGCAACCAAGACAAGATCTCAGCGTAGCCGGAACAGCTACGTGTCCTTCATTCTTACAGCTGCAGAGCTGAGCCGCATCGCTGGGCAAATGCATCCCTGAAGCAAGAAATAAAAAGTAAAACGCGTAAAACTATGCTAAGCACCAACAAATAGCATGACCTGCCATATTGCCCGTGTGATTTTTTTTCTCCTTCAAACGAAGAGGCCAAGCCCAAGCCTGTGAAGGGCGCGTTCGGGGAGAATCGAGCTGTGGCGCGGCTGCTGGGCGTGGGATCAGGACACCAGGTCGGCGGAATAAGCCGACGCGTCGTGGCCATCGGCTTGGAGCGGCGCTCCGGGCACCTTCTGGCTACACCAAAGTGCACTGGCATCGCTCTGCCCGGCGCAGGGGTCAAAAATCAAAATCGCGCCGGAAACCAGCATAGCCGGAGCAGCTATCCCGCATTCTGGCAGCGGCAAGGCCAGCGCAACACAGAACCGTTGTTCCTATTTTGAAGGCATAGGACTGTCTTGTTTTCTTCACCCCTAAGCTTGTTTGGCGCGGTTTCCCACTGTACCCTCCCAAGATGGCCAAGAATTGGAAACCAGAGAGCCATGCCAAGGAAGCGCGCTGTAGTGTGCATGTGATTCTCTTCACTGCCCTTTCAGCAACCCCAAGCACTTTCAACTCTCTTTCCAACATCCTTTTCATCTCTCCCCTCTCACCGGGACGCGCCTCAACCAAGAGCTCGTTGTCAACAATGCGCGTTGCGAGCAAGCGGGACCGGGTAAGGGTTAGATACTTTATGTACATATCCCCTTGATTTCGAAATTCTGCCTCGTTAATTCGGGGGTGGTGTTGTGACGTCGACTTAAACCGTACAGATATATAACTATCCATATCCGAAGATGGGAAGTGAACCTAGGTCCGGAACCTGGAAAAACGTTTAAGTTTCACTTACAGTAAACTTCAATCTGCAGTGATTGAAGGTTTTACCAAAGGGGCTCTGGGAGGCTCCGCGCAGCGACCTCTCAGAGTTTAGTTGTAGCTGCTGGGGGGTCTGTTTCACCTTTGGGCTCTTCCAAACACCTGGCAGGCTGAGACCATGGAGGTCGCAAGCACAGTAGAAACCTGGAAAAAAAGGATCATGTGAAACTTAAAGACTTAGGAGTAAACAAATGAGAGCCATGCAAATGGCAGGAGCTATGTTGTCTTCTCTTGCACCTGTGGAAATCAACTTCCAAAATGAACACAAAAACACACATTTTAATAAAGGCAACCCATCCCAATATCTAGTGCAAGCATCACCTTCAGTTGCTAAATGTTGCTAGCCATATTATATACAGTAATATCATACTTCCATTTTGGTTGGTGGGTTCACCATTTCATCTATTCCACCGGATAACAGAGGGATAGCAGCCAAAGGCACTGTTTGGAGGCAGCCCTGCACCACGCCGCAGCACAGCCCAAAAACACGAGCATAGCAACTCCTGGAGCAAAGACCAACAAGGGGAACCTTGCCAGGAATGATACAGTCGTGGTTTGCAGGGGTTTGATGCCTTTGATGATAAACACCTATATATATATAGGCAACATTATATAACTCCTGAAGCACTTCACAGGTATCATTATTTACTCAGGCACATTAAGCATACATGTGCCACCCCCAAAGCAAATGCCAAATAGCTGACATATAAATATAATCTTGAATCAACATGCAGAATCATTCAACATTCATACGCTGCTGCCAATGACAATTTCCATCGCTCCCTCTCTCTGTATTGCCATCTCAGCAAAACTGCCATTTGGGAGTGTGGATTGGATGGTCATGTTTTATAGTCCCAAATAGTCCCCACCTTAACATGTTTTGAAAGTATATCTTTAGGAACTTTCATAAAGTCGAGCATAAATTATGCATCATGATCCTCACCATGGTGCACTCCTAACTGCGCCAAAAAGAAGGGCATGAAGTCTCCATCCATATTGCGGAGAGCAGTATCCAGAAGGGGATTCCTCAGCGGAAAGGGTGCCATGGCAGCGCTACATAAAGTACGATATTTTATCAACATGTGGAGCCCGGAAATCATTGTTGTTGCCCCAAACAGTGAACATGACTCGCTGCCGAATCACAAACAAAACGCAATGTTTTCAACTGCCATTAATCTACGCACCATCACCACCAGCACGAGCAGCAGAAACAACGAGAACAGCCGCCATAAAATGCACCAACTCTGAACAAAGGGATCATACACCGAAAAAACGAAGAAGAGTGAAAGATGAAATAGGAGAAGGAGAAGGAGTAGAGAATCAGCAAGAACAATAGGGACAAAATAGAGGCCAACAGCAGAACCAGGCAGCACAACGCGCACCACCCCCACCTCTCACCACCACCGCCGCCGCCACCACCACCGCGATACATCAGGTGCCTAAATATTCTCAGCAGCAAGGGGCAAAGCAAAAACAATTTTGCTATACCAAAGGCCAAAGTTCTGCAGAGTTGTGCCAAGGCCAGCAAGCACATTGGCCTCATCTCTGCTTGAGTGGATTTAGGGGACAGAACTCATCAGTTTCAAACCTGGACGCAGCCTGGATCCTATGATGATGTACGCCTGAAGCACTCGGACCTTCCAATGAACCAGCGTGTGCAAGGCATCCACCAGTTTCAGTTTCAGTAAAATCTGAGGATCGAGCAAAGCCCGACAGTGTCGCAAAGAGCTGTGGAGGATATTCCTCCAGCGTGAGACAACCCGAGTCTTCTTGAAAGCACTGGTGTTCCACTGGAAATTACCAGTACGCCTGGTACTGGCAAGCTGGGCATGCAGAATGACCTACTGCAACTGCTTGCGCACTTACAAGCACCATCTTTCTATCAATGCAGTTTCTTCAAACATGCTGAGAAAAAAGGCATTTCACGCAGACCGCTTGGTGGTAGCATCTTGCACGCAACATAGGATGACTAAGCTCAGGCATCTAAGATCTAGAAGGGCAACAGAAAATCAAACCACCCCTTCATCCATCATCCCCAGCGCTCCGAGGAGATGAAGGTGAAGAAAGTAGAGAAGAACATCTGGCGATGACAGGCGGCTAGCAAGTACAAGATTGGAAGCGTCCACCTCAGGACAGAGACTCAAAAATGTCAAGACCGGTTTGCTTGACGATATAAACGATACGAACTGCACGTTAAAATATCATAAAATATCTACCTCGAGTTGCGTCTATCTAAGGCAACATGTATGGCAAGGGCACATGTGCATGCATTATCATACATTCATGATAGGTAAGTTGAAAAGATCTAACATTCTCCAACCAGATTTGCATAGATTTGCAACTCCTTTCGACATTGGTGCTGCCTTGTGCGCCCAAAAATATTCTATTTGAAGTGTTTCGAAGCCATGATTGAAGCTTGAAAGATTCCCATCCACCTTTCAGCATCTTCGATTTCTCTGAAGTCTGTGAGGTCCGGACTCCCAGGGCAATGGCACAACAGCCAGCCACAGCACCGCCAACAGGGCAGTAGCGCAGAAGGGCGCATGGCGATGCCCAAACCTGGCGAGGCAGCACAAAGCACGTGAGCCATGACTATGCGACCAACCAACTCGCAGGTGTCATGGTGTGGGGATTTGCAGTTGATGGATTCTTCCCTCCGAAACGTATCAAAAAATTGTAATACAACCGCACAATCCCATACAACCATACAGCTCACTTGAGAAGGGGTGACACGAAAGGTAGTTGTGTCAGACGTTATAACTCTGATTGTCGTTGTGATGTGACTCCAGCTTGGGTGGTTCATGAACCGTGGACGGGCATGAAACTGGACATGCGTAGCTGAACGGAGATATCTGGATCCGAAAAGAGGGCACCCCACGATTGCCATGGTTGCTCATCACTTAGTCCATTTAAATAGCCATTTGGAGGTATACATTGTCAGACACACGCATCGTGCGGGGAAAAAAAACACGGTCAGTGTTAGCACAAACTCCAATGTCTCTTTTTGCGGTACCTATGGATGCTCGAACCTGTCACTTTCATCGCACCGTTGGGTACTTGGAAAATGGATGTCGAAAAATCCGAATGTCAAGTCGAATGATGATGGTGATGAGGAGGATGATGATGATGATGATGTTGATGATGATGATGGTGATGATGACGAGACACTGCGAAGGGGCTGCTGCGTGAAGAGACTCACTAGGCATATGGCGAGAGTTCCCTTTGAGGGGGCGGGAGGGAGGGGGAGGGGGGGGTCCCTTTCTGCTGGTCGTTCAGGGATAAGGGGTCCAGCCCGCCCCTTTGCTTCGCAAAGTAAAACTCAAGGTAGCCCGCTAGGAGGCTACCTTTCGTGATCAAAGCCCATGAGGACTCGCGATCTGGTAAATGTTGGTGGGAATACCTCGAAACGATGTGGAGCACCCAATGTGCTTCAGCCTTCCCAAGGGGCAACCTTTTGCATTCTTTGAGGTGGGACACTCACATTGGCAAAACGGGGTCCTTGGTGTTTTAGCCATCACCCCATGGTGCATCAACAGCTTGGGTACACGGTTTTGAAGTTTTATGATGTAGCTTCAACACCTTAGCTGTTCAATAGGTGTCATTGGCCGCATAGACCCATGCATTAATAGGAACATTCAAGAATCAGCAAGGAAAACTATTCGCATATATTCGTTCATGTAAAGCACGGGGTTTTGCCCTCTGTTTGGCCATCATGTATATGCTGGCGGCTGGTTTACCGTACGTGCGTTTTTGTGTTTTTTTTTTGCCGATGGGGTGGGGTGGGTTGGGGTGGGGTGGGCTAATAACGTTCAATGGCACTAGCACTCATACTTGATGCTACGCTAGCGACCTCGTCTCTTGCACTTGCACACATACCTGATGCTACGCTACCGACCTCGTCTCGTGCACTTGCACACATACCTGATGCTACGCTAGCGACCTCGTCTCTTGCGCTTGCACACATACCTAATGCTACGCTACAGATGGGTTTGTGTGGGGTGGGGTGGGGTGGGCTAATAACGTTCAATGGCACTAGCACACATACTTGATGCTACGCTAGCGACCTCGTCTCTTGCACTTGCACACATACCTGATGCTATGCTACCGACCTCGTCTCGTGCACTTGCACACATACCAATGGCAATGGCGCTGGGAAAACAGTGCCTGTGCCAATCTGAGCCGTTTGACAGCCGAGACTCTTCGAGGGAACATGCAGTGAAAGTGCTGCGCCAGAAAAAAACCGAAAAGTCCGAATTTTTTGTTCTCTCCCTGTGGCGAAACGCAAATCCATCAAAAAACAAGGCATCCTGAAACAGCCTCTTTCTACTCCTGGCGTTCACAAAAGCGTGCAAATACAAGTGAAAAATGATGAAAAAATAAAACACAATGGAATTAGCCACATTTTCTGACCAAACATGATGATGATTGCTTCAAAAGTCCTGGAAATACCAAGACATAAACACGAAGGTTCATCATAAAGACTCTTAAGAAAATGCCAAAACACACGCGCGGTAAACCAGGCGCCGGGATGTATATGTAATGCATTTTTATATGTATGTATGTATGTATCTATCTATCTATCTAATCTCACCTCACCTAATCTATCAATCAATCTATCAATCAATCAATCTATCTGTCTATCTATCTATCTGTCTATCTATCTAATCTATCTATCTATCTATCTATCTATGGATTAAAATCACATATGCTTAATATATATATATACAAATTTAAATTATAGCTATATAAATAAATAAATGAAAAATAGATGAATATATAAGTATCGACTTGCATTCCTGAGCACTAGGACATGGATGCTGTAGTTAAACTCAGTCCATCCCACTACCCGTGGCAAGTTGGGCCTCGCAAGCAGTGAAGCAAAGAGTGGAATTGCTATGAAGCCAGCAGCAGATTGGAGCACATTAAACATCCTCAATGTGCATGTGCCATGCTGGTCCTCTCTGCTTCCCGGATGATCTCTCTCGAAGAGATGATTTGTTAGGCGTAGTTCAAATTCTTGAATCGCCCAAGTTTTATCATTGGTCAACATCGGTACCAAATTGTGTTTCAAATCTCCTTGTTCCAATGCCTTAGACCATCTTGGGCCCTGTTGAGACGCCTCAGGCCTCTGGGTTCATCCCCTCTTCAACTCCCGTGAGGCCGAGGGGCGACAATTGAAACGGCACATCTAAGCCGCCAGTGGAGCTTAGTCTGTCGCTCCTGAACGCTAGATAGTGCGGTGGAAACTGCCAACAAGCTGATGTCTCCCTCCGATCAGACAAAAAAAAAACGAAATCTCCCTCTCCCTCTCTCTCTCTCTCTTTCTCTCTCTCTCTCTTTCTCCCTTGATTTCCAACATCTCGCTTGATTTCCGACTCATGCCGTTTGAATCTATTTGATGCCATTTGGTGCCATCACTCTTTCATCCCATCGACCATGCCCAAACCGTCCGATCGTGAGACTGGGGCAATCGTCCCAAGCAAGGATTGAAAACAGCCACATTGGACAGCACGGCCAATCCATTGTCCGTCTCTTTGGTTTTGCTCGGCAAGTAAATTCAATGCTGCTGAAGCTCTTCCATTGAAGGACTGCTTCCATCCACCCCATCAAGCACCTGGCGAGAACAGGCCTCTGTATCGTTCCGGCTGGCGAGAAAATACATTTTATTTTTACCGTCGTTTTAAACCTTCGTGCTCCATTTCACCAGTTGGCACTTCCAAAGCACTTCAGCACTTTGCAAAAGTTCCACATGGCAGAACCTGGCCTATTCAGAAAGATCTGGGAAAAGTGAAAGGCCAAGAAACAAGCAAACTTCCAGGTCAAAGCCTCAATTCCAGGGCACTGGCGCCATGCAACGTGCATAAACTGACGGGAGCCACAGTGCAGCTATAAACTATTGATCCACAACTGACCAAAGTCAATGACATTGGACAGTCAAGCCAACAATATCGCATAATGATTGCATAATGGAGCTTCATTTGTGTCTACGCATCACGCCCATGGAAATCGTTGCCCATTTCAAGCATTACAGCTTGGCCATGGATTTCTATGCCCTAGGCCATCCCATGACGCATCATGACACCCGGCGCCGGGTCAAAGATTGCTGCCCCAGCCACTGTACGGAATGCATTTCGACACAGCTCCTTTAATCCTTGGATTTGTTCCCCCATGTTCCCCCTGCCCCCAGGCATGGACCTTAACTTGGAAGGGGAGAACAAAACAAGGGGGATACGTGTCATGTGTGTTGTCGAAGGAGCAGCGTGCTGCCAGAATAATGTGGAAATACTGCAGCTGATTGAAGCCTTGTGGAAAACCTGTTCCAGATCATCCCAGATCCAGCTATCAGACTTGTAAGAGTATCATATACCACTTACATCAACTTGCAAGTTAGCTCCAGCCACACCCGTTCTGTGCCAAACCAGATTCCCATGCCAGTGCTTCTGGATGAGCTGCACTTCTTGAAGCCCACTTCGGAGTCTGATCCAGCCCTTCTCCCCATCAACATCCCAACTCAAAAACCTTGGGGACCTGTTCACGTCAAGGTTCCACTACTAGCAAGGGCGGGACTGTAGCTAATGAATGCTAATGAATTAACATACTGTACCCGTACCCTCAATGGCCATGATGCATGGGGGGAAACTGCGTTGCTGGAGCCACCCCGCAGCCTGGACAAAGGAAATTATCCTGCTACACACCCAACTGGCGCCCACTAGCAGTTCGCAGCCATGCCGGGTGTCTCCGTGGAAGAGATCTGGCATCCAGACCAGCACAGTTCGGTGCCTGCACCCAGGGGATCACCATACCACCCGATGATCTGGGCAAAATTACTGCAGAACTTTGACAACGCACTTCCCACAGAATTCTAGGACCCTATCAGAGATTGACAGAAGCTGCGACCTTCGAATCCAACATGAAACATAATCAAATGGGCGCATGGGCGAGAAACACCAGATTTTTCTACTGCCCAACGAGTCATTTATCTATCCTCTGGGCTTCCACTGAGCTACCCCAGAAACGGTCACGACCCAACCTGGTGGCAATGCTTCACGGGGCCAGAGCCAGGCGCTGATGCAGAAATTCCTCAGCAAGTGCTGCAGCATGGAAACACTGACCGACCTGGTTCCTGCAGGAGTCCCCGCGAAAAAGATTGAACGGTTATGAAGAATCACTGAACATGAATCCTTACCATTTGGCTGGCCATTTTTTACTTTGATGATTACTTATTACGTATATATATATATAGGTATATATATGTATATATATATAAGATCCTTACTTTGAACATCTTCGAACATTTAGGAACTCTACCATTTCTTTTTGGGGACCTCTATGAACAATGGTGCAACAGGTGCTGTGGAAGTACAGCTAGGATTGGTTGACCGACCTTAGAAACTCGCATCATGGGCCCATCCTGTTCCGGAAATCGCTTTCCCATGATGAATGGCAATTATCATTTTCTCTTGCACCTGTCAACTGTTATCCATGCGCTTTCATCCGCGGCGCAGCCCTTCAAGGCCAACATGAAGCAGCAGGATCATATCACGACCCAGCCTTGGCGAAGCATGGCTGACCAATTCCAGGTGTTACTGGCCCCATCTTAGTCTCATCCTTCATGGACTGCACATAAATTTCCCTTTATTGAAGCTGGCGACACACCTGCGTGTACACTTCTCAGGTCTACCTGGGTGTGGCCGTGCTTTACCAAGTATGCCCAGTGTTAAGCAGTGTTTGATCCCAGTGCCTACCAGCAAGCCTTGCCTATTCCCATCGAACACAAGACATCACAAATGGCCTATAATAAAAATAATAATCATAATCATAATAATCATATATATATATGGTCCCGTCCTCCGTCTCTCCCCCCCCCCCCCCATGGGTTGGGTCCCCAGGTAGCAGCCCCCCTTCCCTTCTATTTGCAAGCTATTGGCAGCATTTCTGAGGTCCAGCTTCGTATTTGCTAGGTCTTTGCAGTATTTCTGACTACCAGCCTCGCATTTACTAGCTACATGCTACCTTTTAGGCGACCTACGTAGCACATATACTCCTTGAAAGTACCTACGTGCTACCTATAGTCATATATACATGTGCTATGTATCTACTGTATCTACTTCCTATTTACTACCTGTGTACTCTCACAACACCACCTGTGTTTAACATATACCGTACCGAACAATCAATCAATGATGCCATGCATACCTATCATACCTATCATACCTATCATACCTATCATATCTATCATACACACCATACATACCATACATATGAAATGTAATTACCACACCTACGATACATACAATAGCAAACATACATGCCATACATACCATACATACCTTACATAGGAAATATGCCATACCATCATAGTAATCATACATACCATACAGACCATACATACTGTCATATCAAACATACCATACCCAACAGACTTACATACCATACCTACCATCCATACAATACCAACCACTCATGCCATACATACCATACCTACCAAACATACCATACTTTCCAAACATGCCATACCAGACCGACCATACACACCATACATACCCAACATACCATACCACACCCCCACCACACCACAGGGGGGGGAGGGGGACAGCGCCACACCGCCACCACACCACAGGGGGGGAGGGGGAAGATCTCATATGGGGCCAGTATATGGGACCCATCCCATGGGGGGTGGGGGGAGGGGGGGGGGGGCAGGGCCTGGTGCATATATGCACCAGGCCCTGCCCCCCCCCCTTCCCCCCCCATGGGATAGGTCCCGTATACTGGCCCCATGTGAGATCTTCCCCCTCCCCGCACTGTGCGAGAATTATCACCCCAGAAGAGTAGATAATTGCAACTGAGAATGTGGACAACTCTGCTTGACAACTCACGCCCTTTTTGTCTCACTGTGCTAGCAGAATTTACGCCTCCTAATCTTGAGCCAACATGTTGTTGGCGGAATGCTGATCTCATTGATCAAAGGAAGCACGATGCGGCTGAGCATGTTCACAATGCTGTGGCAACAGGGAGAGCTGAAAGCTTGGTTGCGGTCAAATTCTCTAATTGTTTCCAAACTCACATTCGGTTCAGACGTCATGTCTGCTTACTCTAGTTCGGAAAAAAAACTCTTGCAAATTTGCACGGCTCTCAAATTGGAAATGTGATCAAAAGCGGTTCAAAAACTTCGATCTCACAGATTGCTTGGACCCAGGAAACGCAAGACAATAGGAGATCATCAGGATGTTCAAAAAAGTCTCAACCGTGGAAACGTCGCAAAACGATTTCTGAGAAGCTTCAAACTCATAAGCTGTACCGCAGCTGATTATAAATTCCTCTTTCGCACGTCTAAATGTTTCTCCAAAAATGAAATCACTATGTGAATTCCGCGTTCGAAATCTCAATGCTCTGTCAAAGATTGAAATCACTGTTCCGCGTTCGAAATCTAAACGCGCTGTCAGGAAAGTTGGAAATCAAGCTCTAAACTGCATACGACTTGCTCAAATCGCACAAAACGTGTCACATGCTATGCAGCAAAAGACACTTTCACAAATCTCTGAAATCACTTGAGAATTTCGGAGAACATTATTCCAAGCTGGCAATGCAAGCTGAATGGCACAGGATGAGTTTACAGCATCATCAAGCAAGTTCAGCTTACTGTCTTGGAGGAGGTTGTAAAGAGTTTTGAGGTGTTCGGAGGAGCGCTCAAAGGGATTGATGGCATGCTGAAAACAAGCAAATCTCTAGATCCAAGTGTCATACTTAGATGGCTGTCGCTTTGCTCACGCATGTGGGTATGATTTGATATAGTATCATGTGAAGTCAAATAGACTTGAAGACTTTGCTAAAAGCAAGTTTGTTTTCATGTTTTGTTGGGGCAACATTTGCTTGTAGCTTGTAGCAAGTGATTAGTGATTGGTTGAGAGTCCGCCAGCGACCAAACAATGAATACGCATCGAAAGAGGTGTATGACATTCGCACCCCCTTTCGCTGGCTGAATCTCAATTGCATGGCCCATCGGCTCATCATCTCACTGAAAATCGCACGTCCAGGCCTGATCGGGCTCTGGCAGCTAGCTTGGCATCTCTATTGTTTTTTTTTTTTTTTTTTTCGGAGCTTCTCCCAGGCAGGAAAGAATGGAGAAAACAACGACGGTTCAAACTGGGTTCTCAAGCAGTTTCTTCATGGAATATCGGATTTCTGTCATGCCAGGCTCGAAAAACCGGTATGCTGGAAGTGTGGACTTGGCCATGTCCTTGCCAATGTAAACATCTCGATAGGCCTGAGCGATGATGCTACACATCGAAGCAGGATAATGGCTTACTTTGTCCCAATTGACTGCATTGAATGCAACGTGACTTTCACAATTGCACTCTGTGTGATTTGCCAACGATCTGGCTAAACTTGGATGGGTTCCCAACCACAAGAAAATCTTTCCAACCTTAGGATCTGTTTCAGGAAAACTGCAAAGCCGAGGGAACTGTGCATAGATATGGCGACCTACTTTCACAAAGAAATCTGCCATGAACTTACTGTTCCAATACCTATTTCTCTTGGGTAGCTCGAAAGTGAACTCATCTGCTGCAACGGCGCGGCTCTGGCTCAGTTTCAAAATTCGTTCCAACTCAGAAACTTGCGTTGATTCAGTGGGCTCGGCATCTGCTGGGATATATTCAGTCGTGTCTGAATTTCCTGAAGGCGGAAGGGAGAAATGCACATAAACAGGCTTACCTTTCTTTGAAAATCGCTGCACAAGATCACTGAGCTGGGCATGAAACATTGTGAAATCTGCCCTTGTGGAAACTCGGATGACTGCCATTTGAATGTCTCCACAAAAACTGGCTTGAATCGACTCGGTTAAATTGCTGTTCACACCGCAACATATTTCCAAGAAGATCCCTGAAAACTTACTAGGCGACAATTCTGGTAAATTGGCTTCTTGTGTTTCTAAGATCAAGCTCAATGGTCGTGAAGCAAACTGTGATGGATCTGATTTCTGAGCGTCTGGCACAAAGACTGTGGAAGCAAGCACGTGCTCTTCATCTTGGGAGTTCGACTCCAAAGACTGAACATTCACTGACTCCGGCCTACCCCCATACAAAATGCTTTGGATTTGATTCGTCTTTCCTTTCTTCTTTTTGGCTGTCCGCTTTGTTTGGGATTCAGATTGTTGGTCTGCCAGTTTGGCTGGAAGTTCTGCTGATTCAATGAATCCCATTGATGTCCTGAATTTCAAAAACAGCTTTATTCCTAAACACTTGGTCAAAATATCTGCAATTTGCTGTGAACCCTCGACCCATGTGAGAATGATGGTTCTTCTTCGGACCATCTCTTGGCAGAAACAAATTCTCAACTCAACATGGCGACTGCGTCTTTGGAGCCCTGGTGAGGTCAGGACTCGGATGGCTGCTTGGGAATCACAACGGACTTCCACCTCAATGGCTGTGGCATGTTCAAGGTCTTCATCAACTAATCCAAAAATCAGGGAGTTTGCAAGACTGTGTATTCGATCTGAAGCTTGAAAACTTTCATGGATGTTGGTCACATGCGCGTGAGTTTCTAGAAAAAGATGCTCAGAGATACGCTTGATTCCCATGCTCTCTTGAAAGGATTCGGCTAATGCTGACAGTTCCGACTCGCAACTTGAAAGCGCGACCACTTGTTGCAATCTTGTGAAAGCTTTGATGATGGACCCGCGATAAAAAACACACGCGCCAGAAATTGATCTACGCTTGAGAAAGCGCATTGGGGCCCAGCTGGCATCACAGTAGATTACCAAGCGTTGCGCTTCTTGTTCCTCGATGGTTGCTTCGGGAGATGGGAATCTCTGGTAAATGCCTCTTTGGCTTTTCATGAATTTCAACACTGATCTCAAAGCCTTTTCATGGCGATCTTGCGGTGTGGCCATGCCTGTGGCTAGCAAAGCTATGTATACATTGATGAAAACATATGTTTGGGACATCCAGGACAGTTTGCCTAAGGCTGCTCTGTACCGCATGGCCGCATCTGGGGATAATTCATCAGACTTGGAACTGTCTTCAAGTACCGGTCGAAGATCTGGAGGATTTGTACTGGCAGTGCTGATGCTGTAGGCCTCAAACATACCATCTAAATAGTTTTCATCCAGACTGATGGTAATCTCTTTGCTGTTGGATTTTCTTTCGATGTTGCGGCCAAGAAAACGCAAACTGCCACCCCCTTCAAAACTTCGCTCTATAAGCCCCGTACGTTTTACTTTTAGGTGTAGGGCCAAATGGTCTTGAACGGCAAATGCAAATACCTTACTCGGGGCAAACACGAGCAGATCATCAACGTATGCAACTACTTGCACCCATGCCTTTCCATGCCCTTTGACTGAAACTTCTCCAGAAAAAACAGTTGTTTCAATCAAAGACGGTTTGATTCCTAACTCTTGCAGCAAGTGGCTTAAGTGTTCTACCCAAGCCAAACCGCTTGTTCTCAAGCCATTTATGGCCTTGAATGCTTCGAGGAATATCGGGCTACCATCTGGAAACTGCATAGTATTTGGTGGCATCTTCAGAATGACTTTGATGGGTTTGCCAAGACGCCGGCCTAGAGGAGAAGCCATGAATGCAGCACTGATGTCCAGGCCTAGAATCACCAGGTCCAGGACTGCTGCTTCTGCAATGAGGATTCTCAAAGATTCAATGCTGGAAGTAGGCGAAGAAACCATGAGTTCACGGGCAGAACTCTTTCCTTTTGCCATTTCCCGTGCAACTAGTCGCATGCGAACATTCAAGGGATCTTTCTCAACACAAACCCATCGGCAAGTGATTATACTAATCTGCCATTGCTTGGCAAGACGCTGGGCTTCCTGCTCATGGATTGGTCTGCCAACCTTCTGACTGGTCATGGAATCGATTTCAGTGTGCATCCCTGCATACGCAAGGTCTTTGTCAAGATATTGGCCATTGGCGTCACTGATGACATATCCAGGAAACAAAAGTAAGATTTCTTCCCCACAAAGGTTTGCCTTGCTGCTCTTGGGTTTCACTCCACGGATCTGATAAACCGATTGCAACATGCCAATGTGACGCTCTTCTAAATACGAAAGCTCAAAGTTATCCAAGGCTGTTACCAAATCTAGCTCCATAGCTTCCGTGGCTGTAGGTTCGCCTCCAGCAGCTGCAAATTCACTTAGATCTACCATTCCGTCAGCAGAGTCGTCTACTTCCATGTCATGGATGACTTCTGGCTCGTCCAACGCCTTTGGAGAACTGGGTGCAAGGCTGGGCGAATATGGAACATCATGTGGATTCTCATCGAGATGTTGACCCCCTTCAACTGGGAGACTTTCTGGTATGGGTTGATTCTTTGGAAGATCAAACGAAACTCGTTTCTCTCTGTTTGCTGGAAAGTCTGGAAACCTCTGCTGGACGGGTTGATCAGCTTCACCCAGGCCTGGCGGTGGCTTCTGCTTGCCACTCAAACGTCGCACCTGGCTGCCAAAACAGGACCCTGAGACATATTGAGATCAGACATGGGATCTGATCGTCTCCTCAACCACTCAATATATCTGTCTATACATTTTTATTGTGCTTCAGTCCGTGGAAACTCTGATGGCGCGCACAAACACTACAACCTTTAGTACGTCCATGCTCATGAATCCAGGATGAAGGAACATTCTTGACGTTTGAATATTCCACAGGCTCGATAATCCTAGAGGGCAGAGGTTCAGACATCTTTGCGGAGAGATCTTCAATGGAAACATCAGGCTGCATCCGGTCGAAAAAATGCAAAACAGATGGAGACAAGGAGATGTCCCACTCCAATGGGGAAACAATCTTAAAGCTCTTGCAAACAAAGAAACGTTCTTGCCCCCCAATGACAGTACAAACTACATCCCCCAATGAGTTGAACTCAGGTCGCAAATACGTTGCCTTCTCAAATCGGGAAATGCAATCTTTCTTCAAGCTAGCTGGCACCTCTGCAAGGACAAGGCTGCCAAACATGGTTGTTTTCCGGGTCGTCTCCCGACCAAGTGCAAGTGACTTTGGACTTTGTTTTGTATCTAAGTAACATGAGAAATAATTGGAGCAATGACATAAATATGCCAAAGCGGCATTCACAGCTGTCTGATTCCTGATGCAAACATCACAGCCATTCTCACGCAAGTCTTGCCGAAGAGTGTTGAACGCATCTTTAATGGCTCGGACTCCAGCCTCTGCTCCACCAATGGTCTGGTGACCTTGCGGCGGCGCTTTGACAAATGAAGCTGGCCTGTGGTTGATGGCACCTTTCATGAAACTTGAAACAGCTTCTTCTGCGTCCGTGATAATTTCAATTGGCTCGGGGCATTCTGTGGACATATTGAATTCGCCAAGCCAGGCCTGTATCCATCGGTGCGACAAACGAATGTCCGACTGGACAGGGGCCACGCCTTTCATTCCAGCGGTCAAATCTACCATGATTAGATACTTGAAAGACTCTTTGTTTGCTTTATCCAAGTTCAAGAAGAAAAAATCACATGCCATCTCACTGCTCAACACCGACTTCTTCTTTCTTCTGTGGTGAGTCGTGGACTTGGCTGCTTGGCAAGAAAGGCAATCTGCATGGAATGGAAAATGGCCTTGACGGCGGTGTTGTTCAAGCTTGGATTTATTCAAGTCTCGTTTTCGCAATACAGCTGGATGCTCTGGATGCTCTGAAGACTCTTCTGAAGGAATGGATGCAAATCCTGTGTTTGTGTCTACAATCATATTGGGCTCATAATCAAAAGGCTCGTTCGAATCCGGAATAGAGTTAGGCTCCACACTGAGGCTTTCACGGTATGGAGATTCACTATCGGAAACAGGCCTACTACTAACATATGCTGGGCTAGAAGAGGATGCAGCAGCGGGGTCAAGTTCTTCCAATGAAACATCTGGCTGTCTCTTGGTTGTCATCAACATGGATTTGTCAGTTTCGCTCAAATGCTCAACCGTGTTCACCGGACCATCATGGATTTTCCGACGGCTCCAAAATGTCTTCTGCAAATCGCGATCATCGGAAAAGTCCATGACCGTCTCAACTTCGTGAAAAATCCATGGCACATTCTGCCATGTCACCAAGTCCAAATTGTATCCTCCAAAGCGCACTTCCAATTCACTTCCGGAACTGCTTAATGACCAACCCTTTCGCAGCAAGCTGCCCACTGACAAAACATTATTGGGAACATCTGCTACAAAAGCTGAAACTAAGCACTCTTTCAACATGGTGTCTGAAGGATCTTCTCTGGACGTCAAGCGGAAAAATGCTTTCAAGCAAACAAGGGAAGTTGGATGAATTGTCTCACCGCTTGCCGATGAAAACCCAGGGCCGGTTGCTGGTCCCAGCACTTGATTCTTTACTACTTTATAGTGTTTCAGGAAGCGAGAACTCACAACAGAGGCTGATGCTCCTGAATCAATGAGCCACCAGTGCAAATCTGATGGGACATCTGGCATCATTGGCATGAAAACTGCAGCTGACATGGTACAAACATGCTTGGTTTTACTCCACAAATCTGATGGGTTTCCAAAACATGAAAAATCAAAATCAGAAGAAAATTGTTCCTCCATGAGAAATGATCCGTGGACCAAATCGAACTGCTCTTCTGTGATCTGCTCTCGCTCAAACTGCAC